TGATAAATGTCCACTGTCTTTTTTATCCAACAAATCTGCTACGGACATCGATGTTAATATGTCACAATGTTGCAATAAACACGGTTTGCGTTACATACCCGAGCACTAGACAATAATCGAACGTCAAATGGAAAAGACTTGCGTTTCATCTTGGTGGTCTATATTATAATTTAGTCTTCACTTGGCATACCATATGTCGTGTCGTAGAGAATAGAAAACTCAACCGTCAACTGTTACACACTCGACATTCCAAACCACGTATTTGCAATATTAGTACATTATAATTATCACCAGCGCATTGTTGGTCATTGCTTTTGATATATGCAGACCCGGACTTTCCAACTTTCCTAATTAATCATTTTGCCTCACTTTATACCTGATGTGCAACCGTGTAACAGGTTTTTGTGTTGCAGAACATTATTTTTCGTGAATAACGCCATTGAGACGACATTGCTTCCTTACAATCTGCGAGTAAAAAGATCTCGGCTATCGTAAAAGGCTTTATTGACCTATTTTAGATCACTGGTACCTGTGAAAGCAAAAAACCAAAGTTTGCCCTACACTCAACTTAGTAAACAAATAATTATCGCAAGCACTTTATCTATCCGCAGATAATAAAATTGCGTCCGTTCAGATTTACAAAAAAAAAAAAGGCTTGGTTTGTCACAAAAAATTTAAAGGGTTTTATTTTAGATACTGATAACGCACCTGCTTTCCCAAAAATACAGACAAACAAATAGGAAACGATAAATGGGCAACGTTATTCTGTGCTTTCTGCAAAATGGATATAATTCTCATTCATTAAATATATGCAATTTGATAATACAAACTAAATGTATTGCGTGTTGCAGCATTAGCCGTCGTTAATAATTTGGTGATATTACAGGAAACTCGAATGGATTCAAAGAAGTTCTTTGCCGAATCACATGTCAGATGGAAACTGGAACGTGTAAGTAATATCAGGATTAAGAAGGAAGATTGATATGAAATTCGTTAAAATGACGGCAATGTAATTGCATCAAAAAACGATAGTTCAAAAAAATTTTTATATCAAGAGTTAATTTGACCGATTGATAAATTGATATGTTATCTACAGTGTTAAGTGTGTTACAAAAGTTTTTGCAAAAAAATTGACATAACAAAAATACATGTAGTTCGTCCAATTTTGTATCAAATTGCGTTGCGTAAAAAATATCTGTACTATAATTGACATGTTTGTATACCATATTACTTATGTATTTTCAACTAATTAAACATGTCTCCGATATCCAAAACATACCAGCCGTCTAGCCAAATTATTTCTTCAGGAAAATGTCCCTGAAGTTATTGGCTGGCCGAGTAACAGTCCTGACCTCAGCCCCATCGAAAACTCTGGGTTAGTAAGAATAATGTAGGAAAGAGAATGCCTCAAAACTGTGGTAAATTAGAGCGTTTTATGATTGAGGAATGGAATGCCATTCCCGATGATGTCTTAAGAAATTTATATAAAGTCAATGCGAAAGAGATGTGAAACAATTATTGAAAAAATGGTGAACGCGTCTTATTTTAATTAATATCAATAAAAACTACATCCATTTAGCTTTAAAACGAGGTATCTTACATATTACTCAAACAACGGTTGTGTCATAGTGATAAATATTATTTTGCAAAAACTTTTGTAACACACTGTAAGTCTCGTTCAATCTGATTGATACATCGACTCACAATGAGAGACAATAAATTCATACCACGTTGGGGAGGAAAATTGTTGTATACGTAAATGGTTAAACTCTCACAGATAGCACACTCGCTTGCTACGGCATTCCATTGTCAATGATCGTAATCAATAGACTTGAGAGGATTAAGGATTGGCTAATGTTGTTTACGTATTAAGACATTCGTTACGAGTTATATTACATTACTCTAAATGATAAAAGCATGTTCAAAAAAGAAAAGGTACAGTAAACAGCAGAAACACTTAATAGAAATTCCCAATCTACTTACACAATGATTGCGACATTGGTATCTTTCTTGGCACATTAAAAACACTGATTTTACGAACCGTAAGTCACCAAATCCTTATGGGCATCTTTAAAAAAGTGTTGGTGACTGAGGATACTATCATTCAAATGTATTTTCCGTAAACTTATAAAGGTAAACTAGACTCACGCATTATGAGAAAAATTGTAACAACTATTCAAGGACATTCAGAGGAAGAGGAGGAGGAGGAGGAGGGATGAGAAAAGTCAGCAGAAGCTATTAATAGCATTGACAGTCTTCTGTTATATTTACGACAAGAGGCATTAAATACAGAATTTAAACAATCATTCATGATTATAGTCTTGATCGCCATAATAAAATCAACAATTTTTATTATTGGATATTCATATTGACTAAAATCACGTGAAATACTTTTAGAATAACGATCTTTCAGATTACCGATTGCGGAACGGACGACTTCGTTAAAGTGAAGTTCACTGTGTAAATAATCCCCCCATGCTAGGCGTACGCCCCCGAAGAAATCGACCATGAATTAATAACCGAATCCGTAAGATCGTTCGGATCTTTCACTTATATCTATATGCTTTATAATATTCGATTCTTCGACGTATGGGCTGTTGCGAATCTAGAGGTAAGGATTGATAGACATTTGGCTAACTTGTTAAGAATTTATCAACCCTGCTTATTAGTATGTGATTAGTTAATAGTTAGATTTAGCTGGCTGACTCATACATACGACTTTATCAATTCAGGTGCCGGTGGTGTCAAGCACATCCAACTGAGCAAATTACACGAGCGAAAATTCGGCGACGCTCGGCATAGTCTCTTCTTCCACCAGTCTACCCTTCATTTTCACTATAACCTAACACTTAAGATTCTTATACTTCCTACTCTTGCTAATACCGGGATAGACATCCCATCCCGTCCTTGCATTGAAATGAAAATCAACCTCTTAATGCTGATTTTTTCAATTCGCGACTCGGGAGCGTACCCTTGATCACACTTTCTGGATAGGTCTGTCTGTACTTCCTCAATTATTAGGGGGAGGAAAACTCCCCACTGTTATGACTAAAGACCATATCCCAATTTTGCTGCATGCAGCAGCGTACCTTTCTTGCGCTGAGTTTTCAAAAAAATCACATTAAACCTTTTACAGACATTTCATCTACCTTTAACAACTTACATTCCCAATACGTATTCCCGTTCGGTGTAACGGGTAAATTTTATGAACTAAAAGAGATTGCATTCGGGATTCGGATAGAACGGGGCCAGTCCCCAACTGAGATATATGGTAAGAGCGTTAATTATTTACTATTGTAATATTAGACGATCCAACATAACAATTGTCACGTGTTATACAGATACGTGACTATGTCGTTAATATCTTTCCGCTGTGTTGTAATTCTTAGGTATCGCTTGGTTTGGGCGCATTAATTCTCAAGTACACCTTCGACAAAGTGTTAACGATTGGGGAGGCTCTTTGAAATTTTTTGTATACGGAGTCATTGGGAAGAATGTATTAACAACCTTATGTCACCCATTGCAGAGTAAATGGGAACGCGACGATAATTTATCTATACAATATCCACTCTTTCAAAGACGTCGGATGCTTTCGGTTGCGAGAAGTTGGAAATATCATATTTCTTCGGGGAGCATTTATAAAATTTGTGCTTTTAAACAATTCACGATTAGTCTCACGAAGACGAGCCGTTGCGTTAAAATCTGGAAACTTGGCTTTGATGAATTTCTATTAAGCCATGGGACGGACAGGAAATTCCTGCAAATGGAAACTATTTTCCAAAAAGTATGCCAGTTTTATATAGACTTTATGATATGTATCCCGAGTATATATGTAATAAATAAGTTGACAATTATCATTAAGACGTACGGAAAATTAAAACTCACTTTCAAAGTTTATCTTCACAATCGGGTTATCTGAATTCACGTAAGCATTGAAAGTTTCAAGCTCGCGCAGAGTTTCGTCTAACTAGCAATTATAATTCCGCACTCCGGATTATACGTCGCCTCTTGCCGTTGCGCACTATTGAAAAAGAAAAAAAAAGGCTGATGAATTCTCTGCTAAAACAATGAAATAAAAAGAAAAATTTTTGACAAGTCTACTCACGAAGCTTGCTATAAAATTCCCTGAAGAAAAATCCATCCTGTTAATGGTAATGCTTGTTGAGAATGAGTTAAGGAAAATATAATGTTCATTCCCCGGAAATCCTTTTAATTGAACTCTTTCAGAAAGAAAAAAATAATAATTTCTACGCTCCTCATATTCCTTATGTATTGCCGCTAGCTGACTCTATATAAGTGTGGATAAATAAATAGATTAAATTGTGAGATTAGTTACATTAAACAAGTCGCTATGATAACGCCTTAACAACTTGGCAAAGCTATTAAATAAGCCAGATAAGTTTGGTCATATACTTTAGATAGCAAACAGCATAACAGCTTATCCAGCGACTATTTCCTAATAATACTTACTCGTAGTACATAAAGCATCGCCTGGTTGGCTAGCTGCACGGAACATAAGTAAGCATTTCTCGCCACGCGGAGCATCGCATCATCATCGAAATCGACCACGGAAAATCTTGATGCCAACTGCCGTTATTTAACTAAGCAAATAACAAATAGACCAAACCATTACTTAATAAATTAAGATAACAATAATTGAGAAATAACCAATCACGGACTACACCTACCTTTTTAATTAATAGCAAGCATTGGTATCAATAAAAGACTTTATATTCATTTTATCTCATCGTTTGCAGGAAAAGCAGATGTCTAATGATGAGATTATACCCGTACAAGGAGCGTATCAAACAAGCTGTAATCATAGCATACTGACGCACACGTCGCCAGATTACTTTTGTCATCCAATGTTCCCACAATAAGCCACTACAAATTAATATTAAGGCCTATTAATAATACCAAAATATTGATTCGTCAGTTAAAAACTTATACGCACAGTGAGAATGATGCATATGATAAATTATCATTTGCCGGTACTGGTCCTACTTTGACAACTTCTTCAATGCTGGCAATGGATAAGATCTGATTCCGATAAGTAGACGCAGCTCTCCCGCTAATACCTGGTTGAAGCAATAATCCAGCGTTCGGGAAACTATAATTCGAGTTGGTGTAGTGTTGCGTACGTACTTCAAAGTGAAAGACTATGATCAAGAAGAGATGGTACACGAAAAGAGCACTACAAATGTAAGTGTGTTTACTAAACATAGATACAGTATGTGGCTAACGCCTCTTATTTTGCCATCATCTAACAATCTATCTCTATTTTTTACTCACCGAAAATTAAAGCTCCCGTATTACATTCATTTATCTCGACGTAAAAATTGGGTTAATTTCGTTGAACCGGGCATCCTAGACAGAATCAAGAATATTAAGATAAACATGCGTATTAGTCAATCCTTTTCTTAAACCCTTTTTCAGATCCTTTCGGAGTTTCACAAATCTCAACACCAAAGCTCTTTATTCAATAATATAACTGCCTTTCTCCCGAGCTATCGATCTACACATGTGACATGTGACAAAGATCACATCTTTTCATACCCTTTTGAAATTTTCATGTTCTCTTCGTTCTATTTTCTTCTAACCGTAGGCTACCTTCCTAATGCATAATGCATCACCTTCCTCATTCGTCAGCCCGAGCTCAATTCTATATTCACGGTCTCCTACATTCTTTTTCAGAGGTTGTACCCCGTCTCTTCTAATTTCATCCTCTATAATCCTAATCCTGGTATTTCCATTTGACATTCGAAGAAATCTTCTTTCTCTTTATCTGTACAATCTCCTCCTGTATCTCGATTCCACGTGTTAAGAAAACGTTGATCATGTCGGAAATGGCGTTGTAGCTATTCGTGTTTGAAAGTTTCTACACGGTAAATGACCCCGACTCTGATTAAACGTTCGTGAATTTCTGGTGTTAGAAGTTATGAAACGAAGAGGTACGGTCAGCATCTGAAATAATATTGTTAAATGGGTGACGCGCGAACGTCGAAAGAGAAGTTCGACCTAATCATAATTAATACAGACATTTTCCAAACATTACCATAATTCCGTTTCGATTTCCTTATCTGTAGCTCACACTACAAGGCCTGTCTGCCTGTAAAATTGTGTTATCATCTTTTATTGCCCAAAACTAATTTTCCGCTCAAAAATACAGACCTATCTTACACAAATAGGAATATATTTACTGACAGAACTACTTACCATGTCGTTCTGTGTCTGAAATTTCGCTATTCGATCGGCCGGGCTTCTTTCACGGTTGTGGGAAATAGATAGATCGCCCATCGCAGCCGCACCACCAAATATAGCACCAAAAGATGATTGTTCATTGAGCAAAGACTTGATAGTTTCATAGGCTTTCCTGGTTGAGTCCGTGGAACATGCAAGTTATGCGCTACTTTCATGGATGAATCTCCTTCAGCAAATCCAATGAGAAATTCATCTTCAAGAAGTCAAATAATTTTCCGTTACTTCTTTTCTATAGACAATCACGCCCCAGTATGTTTATTCAGTTAAAGAAGCTCGCATGTACTTACCACATCTTCTATTGGATAAGCTTAAAGTACTCGCCGCCCAACTATTTTTTATGGAGGACGCCGATGCCATTAACCCTTATTGCGTGCTTCTCTTGCCTAGTATGTTGTTTACTACCCACCAGAGTTCCTGTTCAATTTATTCAATTCCATTAATATTCCTCACACCTGGCTTTATTTGGTCCACTCAATTAACTAGTACCCGTCTCCATCCTTTCTCCCATGATCACTCACCACACAAACACAATCTACGAAAAGTCTCTCTCCAGTCGATAATCATCATTTGACCAGTTTAAGAATTATCTCCAATTGATCTAGTAAACCAGTTATACAAATTATAATATATGAGAATTTAGTTAGCAACAACGTTAAAATTATATGGATTGTCTTCAGCATCGGGTTACTTACTTGAATCCTAAGGACCAAACGCCATTGTATATGTCTCTTAAAAAGTCTTTTAGACTGAAATGTCGGTCGTTATAATCCTCCTAATACAATGGCGATTTAGACAAATCGACTTAGGAATATTTGTTTCTCGTATAATGGCATGGCTTACCTTTGACTACCAAGTGCTCATTTACATCAATGACAGCAGAAACAGATCCTTTGGCGTCTTCAATCTCAATATTTCACGCTGGTGATGTATGTAAATCCATTAAGGAAACAGGTTATTATATCATTAGACGACAGAAATGCGGAAATGCTTTTTGTAAAATAAATTCAATATGATAATATGATTACTACACATAACAATCATTAATGAATGTAAAATTTATTCTTTCACAATTTCGCAACTCGTACCGTTCTCCTTGGGTTTTAGCTATTAATCGAATTCTTCGATTAACCGGCGTTAGCAAAGGCCAAATCTCAATGTCATCGAACTGTCCACACGTCCAAGGTCGAATGAGGAGAAAATATTGAGAAAAAATTGTACGATTAGAGGTGATGCAACATAAGTGATCAATATTGGTTGATCCGACGGTAAAAGATAACGTTACATGAAAAAGCGCGTAAAAGATCCAGCCTGGAAGAAATACTTTCGCATTTTTTATATCCTGTCTAGAAAGAAACATCTTAATAAACATTATATACCCAAACTCCCTCTTTTGTACTCATCATACAGATCAATCACAGTTACCTTTCCATATGTTGGCCGCCCACAGTCGTGAGAGTGAAGATTATCAAATAAATATCACGTGTTAACATTAGTTGCACAACATATTTTGATGGAGTATACGCAACGACTTTACTGTGTAAATGACTGCTGGAGCACGACGTAAAAAGGAAAAAGCAGAGTCTATTAAAAGGCTAGCGTAATTTATATTACGATGCATTAGGGACATCTAGAAGCTTTTCAGATAATGATCGTTCGTGTTGAGGATGTAAATAATGCAATAGTAGGTTGATTCAAACTTTACAACTACAATGTATTTTTTGCTTTAAATAAAACTTTTGAAAGATATAGTTCCAATAATTTAGAAATATAATAATAATCATATTATTATTATTATTATTATTATTATTATTATTATTATTACAATTTAAATTTTTTCATTATGAGTTAAAATATCTGGTTAGATATTAACTAGTTTATGAAAATTACATATTTTTCCACCACCACAAGTATGAGCCATTGCATCAGTCGTGGGCTTTTGAAACCTCCCCGAATTTTTCTCCCATTCTCTCCCAGTCAACCACCTCTCCATCTTCTTCTTTTACCGTTGCTGCTTGGTCTCCCATGCAAAAATTTTAATAATACGTATTGCTTCTAAATTTGCAAAAAAATTTTGCCCGTCTTCGTTGTAACTTCGTTTAACACCCGAGTTACAGGCTGTGGTTCGTCCGGACCCTGGCGAGTAGTTAGTCCATTTGGTCCAATTACATACTGATGGCCGTCGACGTATAACGGTTGCTCGGTAAAGCGGAGGCAATGTGCATAAGGATAAAGCGTCCGTCATAAAACCAATTTGATTGCTTGAAATTTTATGTGGTAATCGTGTGATATTAGAATTAGGCAACCGTGTCTTTAGTCTTGTTCTCGAGAGGACGGACGCTATTTATAAGAAAATTTTTTGTGAGCGTCTTCAGTTCATATACCGTTTAATCTATTAATTACCTGTATATAAATTACTGGTTGCCTGCAAGATGGACAATGTCAGTCTCTATTTTCGGCCCTCAATGGTACGGTTACTTATTGTAGATAGATCCGTTGGTTTAACGAGGGAAAAAAAAAGGGAGAAGGAAAGAAGGGAGTCGAAATTAATCCTGTCAAATGTGACACCGGTCAATTGAGTAATCAATGTCGCTCCGTATTAGTATGGGAACATGCCAAAATGGTCAAACAAGAACTTTGCAATAAGATTACGTGATTGTCTAAGCGATTACTAAGCGATATATGACGTCCAAAAAGGACGTCAGAATACATCCTGTATTGATTAAATTTGGGATTGTCCTTTACAGAGCACGAGATTAATTATAGTGGAGGGTCACTAATAATGAGTATACTTTTTTAAAAATAAGATCACAGTGTTTGCTACACATGACGGATTAATTATTAGGAAAAGAGGTACTGTATAATACTAAAATAGCTTTGTCGGCCTAATATTAATATGTGCAGACAGCTTGATCAAAGCAATGAGATTATATTTTGCTTGAATACTAATACGCCAGGTTCCAGGAATTAATTGATATCCTAATACGTACTTTTATTTTACACACTGTGTTGAGAAAATATCAGAATAATACCATTTTTTTCTCTCCGAAAATATTTAGTCATTAATTTTTTTTTACTATTGCAAATATATCTATAATTAAGTTAATTTATTATTAATTGCTTCGCTATTTTGCTTGCAAAAAGTTGAGAATAAATTTGTAACTCTTCGAAATGGTAAGTTGCTTCAGCTTACAGTTTTAATTTAAATATTAAAGTCCATCTGAAGTTAATGATCACTTTAAAATTTAGAGCACTCTTACTTTCAAAAATTTGAAACATTACTTTATGTAGAATTAATATTATCTTCATTTACAACCTATTCTTTAAACTGCAGCAAGTTTTTCTGTTCTAAGTTAAATCTCCCCCTAATACTAAATAATCCTGATTAGTTTCTTTACACACTGTAGACCTTTGTTCCAATGCTGAATCATGTGCACATAATGCTGTAATGTTAAATAAAATCCAACTATAATAAGACAATTAGAAGTTTTTTTTTTAATTACAGTAAATATTGTTGGTTTATAAATGAAAATTTAGTGCGTTTATGTTATTAAAATAAGATCACTTCACTGATAGTGAGTTTTATAAATCAGAATGTTGACACAGTAACCATATTAATATTAATATCATGACTACTACTGACATTTGTTTCTGATGTTAAAATGATATTAGAATTGCATAAAGTGCAGAGTCAATTGTGGGCTTATCATATTAATATGTCAAAAAAGAAACAATCAACATTGGATAGTTTTATTAACTCATAAGTATGTGATGAAATAAAAATCCTTATTTCAAAATAGATATGATTATTATTTAAT